TGTTAAATTACAATATAAAGGAAAGTTATCACAATATCATATTAGTTAGCATGATAATCAAATAGTTATCATAATATTATATAATTTATTTGTTAGCAGATATGTTAGCATGTTACTCAGAATTTGCTAAGGCATTAAAAATAATTTGGATGGTCAGGGTGTTGTGTGTCTTCCACCAGTGAAACAGTCAATGAACAGTGACACGAAAAAGTTGTCAGTGTCACCCATTTAATTAAAGAAGTATTGATGTATATTTTGTGCAATTTCCCTTTAATTATTTATATATGTAGATTTCTTTTTTGCAAGATTAGCTTATTGTTAGGCTTATCATATTCATATCATATATATGTTGCTTGTTTTTTGTAAATAGCAACTACGTAAACAAAAAAAATACATATCCATAAATAGTTACTCTCACAACCAAATTTGTTATGTTCGTAGCTGTTATTCAAGTTTAGGGTTATACTTTAATTACGTCAACCTAGCTAATCTTATATAGAGACAGAAACCCGAATGCATAAAACAAGACAGTTTTTGTTAGTTACGTGTTGGTGGTATTTCAAATCTATTTAGAATTGGAATTGTTGATGATCTCTTTTAGTTTTTTTATCCTCATTGTTCATAATTTTCTCGAAAGAGTATATTATTAGTATTTTAAAACATTTTTAGTATACAGTTCGCGTAGCAATGTTTGACATGGGGATTGGGACAAAAACAAGGGTTTCTAATGAACCTTGTACTGACTTGCTGTCAACTTTAAATTAACTTCAAATTCAATATGCAAAAATTAGGCTGGCGAGTAACATCAATAATAAGCTGATGACAAATCTGGATCTTAGATCATTGGGAACATGAGATATCTTGGACCCCGCGTTACATGTAGTGCCAAATTACAGTTACCGTGGTAGTTTAAAATTTCTTTTGTCCAAACTCCAAAGATTAACTGCATTAGAAAATTATTGAAATTAAAATCACAAATGCAGTTTAAGAGTTTGGATTTCTAAGAGGATTAGTATAGAATTTAAGTAAGAAACATGAGAAGGTAGTTGAATGAGCTTTTAATGCCTCTCTCTCTCTTTTCCGTTAAACATCATACATCATACACAGTGGCGAATCTAGGAATTTTTCTAACCGGGTTCAATGAAAATACAAAAAAAAAAAAGAAAAAAAAAATCATTTTTTTATATTATAAAAGCCTCCTGCGATGATACAGAAAATGAGAGATTAATCAAACATAAATAATATATATACAGACGCAAATGAATAAATTGGAAAACAAGATAAGAAGTTAAGAACTATATCAGATTTAACTTAACTGATATTGCTCAGTTTTAAATGGAAGAGAATTAGCAATTTAGGAAGATGAGCAGAGTTTAGTAGCAGGATTTTGGTGGGGGAGATGAAGAGAAGCCACGTTTAGTTTTAGGTTTAAAGATTTTTTTTTATTTTCAATACTATGTTTAGTAGTTAAAATTAAACTAAAATTTAATTTTGGGTCTTTTAAAATATGTTAACATGAAAGTCCAATAATAAAATATGGGCTAATATTTAAATTGTGTTCATGGGTTCAAAATAAATAAGATAAGGTTGGAAAGAGAAATAATTTATGGGTTCAATTATAATTTTAACATGGTGTCAACATTATTAAACCTTAATAAACCATGAGAAAATTTTGTAATCATACGGTGTCAATTGACACCGTGTCGCTCAACGTACATTCGCCATTGATCATACATGCTCACATGTTGTTCCATTTCCAACTAAAACACAACGTAGAAAAAGAGTAAACAAATATGATCATATATATAGAACAACTCATAAGTACTTTGATCATATGAAATAAACCACTATAATAGTAATTGGAGAAAAGGTGTTAATGGGTTCGAATACGATGTTATTTGAAAAACATATGGTTAGATGCATATCATATATAAATGAATCAATTAATCTATGGTTTCTCGATACACAAGTGACTAATCAATTTTAAGATACACAAAAAAAAATCTACAAATCCTACACATTTGTTTTATTATGTTTTTGAAATTTATTTTTGTTTTAAACTAAGAAGAAAACGAATGAAGGAAAAGACAAGTCGTATAAACAATAGAATATCTGCGAAGTAAAAACCAAGTTTTTCCAAAACCTCAAGCCTCAAAAAAAACAACAGAGATAGACTCCAAGAATGAACCAAATATCACCACGTGTCATTTCCACAGACTTAAAACTCCATTGTCTCTGAGTGTTCTGCTTCCTATATAACAGTCTCAAAACTCTTCTCCTCTCTTAGCATTCTCTCACTCTCTCTCTCTCTCCATCTCTTTCTTCTCATTCTTCATCTACATTAAACAATGCGCATTCTCAGTGGCATTCTTGTGATTTACATAATCTCCGGTGTCCTCTTTGGTCATTTAGTCTACGTGGCTCGAGGACGAGCTCATTACCACAAGAGACGTGGTCTCTCGAACCCTCCTCCTCCTCCACCTCCGGTTGTAACCGCTGATCCACCTCAAGTCCCCTCTGACCCGTACCCAAATCCAGACCCGAATCCAGACCCGGCTCCTGGAAGTTCCGACTCGGATTGCATCTTCGACGTGACGTCGTTTGGGGCAGTGGGTGATGGCTCATGCGACGATACGGCAGCGTTTCGAGATGCATGGAAAGCCGCTTGTGCTGTTGAGTCCGGCGTCGTTTTGGCACCTGAAGGCGGCGTTTTTAAAATCACTTCCACTATTTTCTCCGGTCCATGTAAACCGGGTCTCGTATTCCAGGTGCCTAACGTAACATTATATCATTTAAAAGTTAAATTTGATAGTACGTAAAGTTTTTAGAAAATTATTTTTGTTTTGTTTTTGGGTTGTGAAGTTGGACGGAGTGTTGATGCCACCGGACGGACCAGAGGAATGGCCAGAGACAGACAGTAAAAGCCAGTGGTTGGTTTTTTACCGCCTTGACGGTATCACGTTTGCCGGCAAAGGCACCGTCGAAGGCAACGGCCAAAAATGGTGGGACCTACCTTGCAAGCCCCACCGGGTAATGAAAGATTATTTTCGCAATCTACATTACAGATTCTTTGATTATTAATTTGTATGTGGCCGTGACAAAATAAATATAACTTGACAAGAAAGACCAATTTGTTGTATGTGTTTGCTAAATCTCTTTCAGGGTCCAGACGGATCATCATCATCAGGACCATGTGTTAGCCCAACTGTAAGTCTAGTTAATTCCGAACCAAATCATTCAATTTACGACAAGGTTTAAATTTGGTTTAGTAATGACCACTTTTTTTTTTTGCTTTTTTTAGATGATTCGGTTCTTCATGAGCAAGAACATAGAAGTGAAAGGATTAAGAATCCAAAACAGTCCAATGTTCCACATGAAATTCGACGGATGTGAAGGAGTTCTAATCAACGAGATCCAAATTTCATCACCAAAACTCAGCCCCAACACAGATGGTATTCATCTTGGAAACACAAGATCGGTTGGCATTTACAATTCTCTCGTTAGCAACGGTACCATCTTGTTGTTTCTTTAGTTTTTTTTCTAATAAATCGAATATAATTGAACCTGACAAGTGACAACAACAAATTCTATAATAGTAATAATCAATAATGTGTTTTTGTAATTTGGTAAGGAAAATATTATTAATCGGGAATGATCAAAAATTGAAACAGGGGACGACTGCATTTCGATTGGAACTGGTTGTTCAGATATTGACATTCAAGGTGTCACTTGTGGCCCCAGTCACGGGATCAGGTTTCTCTCTTTTAATGCCACACAACTCTTTTGGACTCATTTTCTTAAAACGAAAAATTTAACGTTAATTAAATTTCTACTTTTTTTAAAAACTGTTTATTTAATTTCTCGATTTGATTCCATTACGAAGTTTATTTTTCATGTGGATCACGGAAAGTCGAACTTTGGAACTAGTTGACAAAAATATACTGAGCTCGGAGCTAGAATATAATAGTTTTATTCATATTTTAGAATGAAAATGCCATTTTTTTTTTGGTGGGTGAATGAAAATGCCATTTTACAATTTCATTAAATATTCCTATAGAAAACTTTAATTAAACACAATTTTTCCCCTAATTTGGCTGGTCAGAATAATCAAATGTTGCTGGCTACTAATTTACGAGTATGATTTAGGTTGTACACTCATAATTTAGGTTGTACATCAAATTTACACTTCTTCAAACGCGATATGATTCTAACCGCTATTTTTTGTTTTTAACTCAAAACGCAGCATTGGGAGCTTAGGCGTTCATAATTCTCAAGCATGCGTTTCCAACATAACCGTTCGAAACACCATGATTCGCGATTCCGATAACGGCCTCCGAGTCAAAACATGGCAAGGCGGCACCGGATCCGTCTCCAACCTCCTGTTCGAGAACATCCAGATGGAGAATGTCCTCAACTGCATCATCGTCGATCAATACTACTGCCAAGCCAAGGACTGCCGTAACGAGACGTCGGCGGTTCGAGTCTTCGACGTCGAGTACCGTAACATCAAAGGGACTTATGACGTCAGGAGCCCGCCGATCCACTTCGCCTGTAGCGACACCGTCGCTTGCACGAATATAACGATGTCGGAGGTCGAGCTTTTGCCGGAGGAAGGCGAGCTCGTCGACGATCCGTTTTGTTGGAACGCTTACGGGACTCAGGAGACGTTGACGATTCCTCCGATCGATTGTTTGCTTGATGGTTCTCCGGTGGTGGAGGAAGCGTATGAACCGCATTACGGTTGCTGATCTGGACAGTTGTGAAGGCGCCACGTGGATGTATAAGGTTACCTTTTTAGTTGTATATGGGCCATCCCTTGTAGGGCCTTTTAAAGGAAGCCTTATATGTGCGATGAGATCATTTTGAGAAAATAGATGCTTAGTATATTCGGTCCATCATAAATTTTATCTGTCATTAAGTCATATATGAGCTATTGGGCTTTTCTTTATGATACTTCTTTTGCTAATGATACGCCGTCGTTTTCATCTCTCTTCAATTTCTGGAAGCAAACAGCTGCGATCATGCAAATACTTGTAGAAAAAGATGAACAATCATAAGTGAACACATTAAAAGATTAGTTACTAAGATGACAAGTGAAAAATATTACCTGTAACTTGCAAATGCAAATAGCATTCAGAACGAAGAAAAAAAGAGGCAGAAAAATAAAACTTTAATATTCAATTTGAAACTCATTGAGTTGGAACAAAGTGACCAAAAAGACGACAACATACAAGGAAATGTAAAAAAACACACAGCAAGTAACAACACAAGGAAGGATTTCCGATCAAAATACTCAAAACGCAACTCAATTCAAATCCAGAATAACCAAAACGCAACCACTAACCCCCAAACATCAACGATTCCCTTTTTGGCGCTTGACCAAACTGCGTATTCTCTCAAGTCACACCAGTCAACAAGACTCATCTATACAAACAGAAGCCTCTCTCTCTCCTCACACACCACATTGGCAAATATATTTTTCATATAATGAAGCAGAATTAACTTAAAGACTCTAGACGGATGATTAAGTAAAGAAACGGGATAACAAACCGAACCAGGAAGTTACTTCTGAAGTGAACCCGGGTTTGGAGGAATGGTGCCGACTGTAGCAATTGGAGGAGAGCCGGTAACTTTTATTGGCACTGATCCTACTTTGACAATGTCATTGTCATCAGAAAGAGAAGCATCAACCACCTCAGAAGGGACCGTCTTCTGGTCAGAGACAGAGGGAGCCGGTTTGGTCTTGGCTTGACTCTGGTTAAGGTGAGAACCAGAGGTTTGCTCAGAGTCTGTACCAGTCGGGTTAATGGTGAGAGAGCTCAGCTTCTTGTCAACAGAAGTAGTATCTTCTTCGTTACGTTCCTTTAAGTTCCCATCTGGCTTTGAAGAAACCTCCTCGGACTCTGCAGAGGTTTGTGAAGGTATCTTGGAGGTTTCCATAGAGGATTTCTTGTTGCTATCAGAAAATTCTGGTTTGTGTAATGGTAAAGGTCTAAGGAAGGTTCGGTACGGCAGTCTGTTCCTCTCATCATGCATGACTCTCTGGCGGTTTTCGTAGTACACGAAATCATCTAGTAAAGAAGTCCTTTCCGAATGGTTTTTGAATATCTTCAGCACCTCTAGACCTTGTTTCAGCATTATCTGCACACGAAAACGATAGATTAAGAGATTATTCGAATTTGAAAATTCTTCAAAAGCGAGTGCTAATACGAAAACTCACCTCTTGTGTGTCTCGACTGTTGGTGACTGGCTTATTCTCATTGTTCTGTAGTATGATGTGCCTGAAATAGCTGTTGGGAATATCTTTAATGATGTGCCATTTGACAGGAAAGCTTCCGCTCCATTTGTCTTGCTGCCAGAAATCCATGTCTCTGTCGAAAGAGACTGGACCGGTCATCTCAGCCATGCCACAGAACAAACCACTCGCATTGACCTACAAAGAGGAGAAATACATCAGCATGAACCCAAAGCCATAACACAAACAAACTAGCATGTAATTATGTAAGACAACAAGAGAAGGATAAAACTCACAGAAAAGAATAAGAATATCGGGCATTCACACGATTTCTCGGTGGCTATTCTCTGAGCATCTTCATAAACACTCTGAAGTTTCTTGTTCCCATGCAAAGTCGACGACCAAACATTGTATTTGATGCTCTTGTGAACATCATCTTCACTATAAGACTTAATCACAAAACACTTGGCATGGCTGTAATCGATTCGGAGATCTTCTTTGTTATACTGATTAGGATCGATCACAATATTCCCTTCTGCATCAGGGTTTCCAGCTTTTGTAGTGTAAGCTTTAACAACTAGTTGATTTCTCGACCCTTTCGATCTTGTCCCTCGGTATTGTTCACCGCCTGTATGTGAACTTACGTTTGCATGCCCACCACCGTACAGCTTGGGACGAAGATTGGTATTGTTTGTTAAAACGGAAGAAAGACCATTACGTTCAGGTGGAGCAACGTCTGATTTCCCAGAAGATGACACTCTGCTACTGGAGACAACATCGTGTTGAGAACTAATAGACGTAGCTCTTCCCTGCAGATATAATTACACAAATCCAGCGTTATAATCATAATGATATATAAGCCTCCTACTAGAACTACACAAGAAAGCATAACAATGTTTCATAATCAATACCTGAAGGGTAGAAAATCCAGTAGACACACTACTGTCCGTTCCAAGTTGTTTGTTTTGTGCAGGGTTAGGCCTTGGCTTCTCAGAAGATCTGCTAGCAGAGTTTGCTGCAGGGAGTTTTGGAGCATTCCTTTGGAGACCATCGGTTGCTGAAGCATTTCTATGCTTGGATCCTCTCCCGTCAGATCGACCTCTATTAGCCGAACCGGTCTCCACCAAAGAGTTTGCTGAGCTAGTCGAGACGATATCAGGTTGAATTGCATATGGAACAAACGTAGGAGACGATGCGACATTCTGGTAAGGAGGAATAGAGTAGAATTGTTGGGAAGCAACGAAAGGAGAATCAGCGGCTATTGAAGCGCCAGGTATGTAAGGATTGAATGGATTGTAAGGAGACTGTGCATATCCATAACTAGGAGTGTAGCATACATAGGGAGAAATTTCATTCTGCCCACCCTGGAGAAGCAAAAAGAACAAAGATAAGAAAAGTCTCTGAGGACAGATCAATGAGAAATAGTTAGGACTGAGATTAGTACCGTGTATTGGACTTCTGAACCATCTACACCAAAAAACATCTGATGGTTCTCCCAATCACTGGGTGTCTCATAACCTGAAAATTCAGAAAAAGTTAGGGGACTAGCCACCTAAAGCCCAAGAGGATAATGATTGATACAGCCATGAATCAAACTTGTTACCTGTACAATAATAGCCATAACTGGCATCGACGGGGTAATACATGCCCTGGTCAGCAACAAAATCAGGGGCTCCCTCAGAGGTATACATTGCTTTTTTAACTTTTCAAAGAAATTGTTGAATCAATGGAGTTTGGATAAACACCTGGAATTTACACACACAAAGAAGCCACAACGTGAGCATTTGTGACAATTTTGAAGAATACGAACAGCACCAATCAAGGATTCATCAATCGAAATGCAAAAAAAAATTCGACTGGAATATTATATCAGAAAAAATATATCAAAATCAAAATTCAGAGATGTTTTGCAAAGCAGAACTCTCCGAATACAAAGTAGAACTAGCTATTTGAAAATTATCTCAAACGAATCGACATTATAAGTTAGCCCTAAATCCAATCCAGCGAAAGCGGCGTAAAACCATGGAAATGAGATGGAAGGAAACCTAATCCTCGAAAAAAGAGCACACAGATAATCTATAAACAACATGAAAATCACGAGAAGAGCATATCAAAAACCGTGGAGTAGCAAGTACCAGAAATTTGGGAGAATCACGACATGCTTTAGCCTAGGAAGTTCTTCAGATTAATAAGAAGAAACGGGTTGATTCAAATAGATAAATAAGGAGAGAGAACAAGGCTGATGAAGACAGGGCTCAGCAGCATGAGTTGGTAGAAAGAAAAAACTCTGCAGAATCGAAACCCTAACCCTAGAAATGAGAGGGTGATGGAGAGAGAGAGAGGGGGGGGGAGAACGAGATTCGACGAATTTCGATAAATTTCAGAAATGAGGAAAAAAGAAAACCAGAAGACGCGCAAAGACGGATTCCTTAATACAGGCTTTGATCCAAATACGCTGCGTTTTCAACGGGTGAATCTAGTTATTGACTTGTGCACAAAAAGTCGATTATACCCCTGTCGTTGACCAAAAATCACGAACGTGCCTTCTTTAATATCGTCAATATTTTTTTACAGATGAACACTTACTGTATTGTATTATGTTTTGGCTCAGAGTCAGCAGCAATGAAAAAGGACACCTTACCTTACTCTTAATTTAAAGAAGAAAATATACAAAATTCTCCTAACTAAAATCTGCAAGTAAATTGAAACTTTGATTGAGAAAAATTAATTTAAAGAAAATACATAACCAGGTTCACACCATTACCATCTACCAATCAAACTCTATAACATCTAAACTTAAATTAGCAAAACCGGATCCGGATCAGATGGATTTCACCAGCTATAGGCTATAATGGCCACTGTACATTGGCTTTGAGGACACATCCAAAGAGATTAAGCTTTCCTCATTATCTGCAAAAGAAACTCATAAGTGTGAGATAAAAGAGTTATGGTGTATCAGTCATATGTAAATCTTGCTCATGGCAAGAAGTTGACTGTCCTAGAAATGAGGTTTTGCAGAGACTGTAAACCAGAATTAACCACTAAATCTAATCAAACAGAACCACCAAATCGAAGACAGATTAGATTTACCTTGGTTCGAAATTAAACCAGTGGAATGAGACTTTAGGAGTCATTGATCATCTGTTGGTCATCACTAGAATCAACCGTGTGTTTTTTGTCAGATGATTTTCTCTTAGAATAGGTAACCAGTTTGATTACTCTCTCTGGCTTATCCGCAGACTCTCCATGATCCTTGTCATGAGAAGGTTTCGTAACAATATCTGTAACCTCGTCATGAGCCACCACTGTCTCAGACCCACCATTTAAACCCCCAAGATTCATGGCAGAACCATCTGAATCTTCACCGGACTCGGAATTATTGAGTTTGCTGGTTGAACCTTCCAACTTCTCAGCACCATCAGTGGCTATGTCTCTGTTACTGTCTGTTGTACACTCAGCAGTACCGTTCACTGTGATTTCAGTTACTGCACTTTCTAGTTTCTCATCATATGTGATTTCTAATTCCACTCCAGCATCATCAATGGTACCAGGAGCCTCTTCCTCACTTACATTATTTGACGCCTCAAGAGAGTTGGAGGCTTCTACGTCATTTTCTTCTCCAATCCTGTATTCAGACTCGGCAGCAATTTCATCAACTGCCATTGGTTCAATTTCTGCGGCTTTCTCAGAATCAAGCTCATGCAGATCACAAACTGTGTCGGATAAATCTTTACTAATCTTTGCAGTTTCAGAATTTTCATCTCCTTTGGTACCATCTTCAGTCTTTCCTGAAGAATCAACCATATCTTTATCACCAAAAGCTGTAACTTCATCAATTCTAGATTCTGAGCACTTGGCATCAACATCATTCTTCTCATCAACTTCCATCGGTTCAGAGAGATCCGTGGACTTATATTCTACATTCTCAGAAGATACTAAACTATCTTTGTCTTCAGGCGTTAAGGATGGTGAATCATCAGAATTAGTATTCATGTGGACAAAATTTTTGGCTCTATAGTCATAATACGCCTCAGCCTGTGGATGTCAAAACATATCAAGAAAACATTAAAGAGAGACAAAAAAAAAAAGGAATCTCGTCATTAACTGAAGAACTACCTTTGGTCTAGGAGATACTGCTTCAAACACATGAATTTCAGGCTCCTCATATTCGGGAATTTGCAAAATTATGTAGGCTCCTTTGTTGTTGCGTCTCTCCTCTGTATCCTGCATACAAGACAACATGAACTCAGGTTTTTGTTGCGGATCAAACATAAGTCACAACTTCTACAAGATATAAGAAACTCATCCAATAATATGAAGTCAGTCAGGCAAGTAAAGCGAAAGAGCTTGCAACGGGTTGAAGATAGCCAATACGAATATCTGATAGAGCATACCTGAAACTGAGGATGATCAGGAGCACTGAACAAAGTTATAAGCCCTTCATGGTCTTTTGCATATCCTTCATCCATTGGTGCAAGACCATCTCGTTTTGCCCTTTGGTCTGGGGCTTCCTTCCCTCTGATGATCAACTGCCATAAAAAGAAATGACATCATGATGCTGAAAGAGTAACATAAGCATTTGGTTGATCAAAAACCAACTCAGTTCTTCTAGGTGCAATCTTTTTAACAATTTCGTTTCCTAACCTTTAGATCATTGTCTTGCAGGAACTTTGCAGTGCAATCAGGACCCCACAACAAACCAATGCCTTTCTCTTCGTTAAGAAAGAGGCCCGTGTCCTTCGATGGATCTGACCAAAGTATGTCACCAGGAATTAAGTTTGATCCTTCAGCAGGAGGATCCAAAACACGCCTTTTCACTTTGTATAAATCCTTCAAAGAGCCAACATGCAAGGACTCAGATCTATCTTCAGTCTCAAGAACAACACTATTATCCCCTTGCTTTTTCTGAGCTCGCTTGCGTTTTCTGGTTCGTTCTTGTTTGTCTGAGAGAAAGCTTGATACGTCACGGAAAAGACCTCCATGAGCTGTAAATACCTTCCCACCAATCACAGAAGCCAAAGGGAGTAACTGGAAGCATTCCAAGCACTTTTTGTAGACAACTGCTCCTTTATCTCCATACTTGGTAAGTACTTCATTTTTAAATCCATACAGTGTTGTACAACTTTCACTCTCATGGCTGCCACGTAGAAGAAACACTCTTTCCGGTAGAAAAAACTAGCAAAACACAAATGAAGTGTCCACTATTAAAATGTGTTGCGGTACACAATATCATTTTTACATAATTCAATGATGATAAGCTTACCTTCCATGACAAAAGAAGCAAGAAGGTTTCCAAACCCCACGCTCCTTTGTCTACATAATTCCCATTGAAGACATAAAACTGATCACAATTTGGGAATCCTGCATCCTGCATAAGGAACATCAAATCATGTAGCTGCCCATGTAGATCTCCAACCACAACGACCTTTGCTTTGTCACTCTCTATCCTAACACAGTTTGGCTCCTTTCTCAGGACTTTGGAAGCAGAGACAACTAGCTCATCCAAGACGTGAAAAGGCAGAACACTTGAAAACTCAGAAGGTGGGAGGTTCCTTGAAGACCAATCAAACCCCAACATCACATCACAAATCCAACTGAAAGTAACCTTTCCTCCCGAAGGCCAGAAAAGAGGCTTCTGGGAAACTGATGGTAAAGATTGCTCACATCCTATATCCTGAACAGGTGGCATCACTTCCAAGGATTCTGCTGAGAGACCATCGTCTATTCCTATTTCATTCAAAGGTAAACACACCATATCTCCAGACAATGGCTTTTGCGACGTCATTGTAGGCGTAGGTTGAGATGACATCAGAAACGGTCCTGGAGTTGAAGCCTGAGCAACAGAGCCTATAACAAAGATATTACCAAAGTTAAAACTAGATACATCACCAAGTCACTTAAAGTACAAATCACCAAGAGAAGGAATTGTTCTTAAAGAATCCTACCATTAGATAATGAGCCTAAAGGGGCGTTGAGTTGAAGAGCGCCTGCACACATATTAACGATATCTTGTAATGTTTGCCTCGCGGTGTCAACAGTAAGTTCCTCTTCAAGTGAAGCCTTAGATCGAGCATGAATGGCTGCAACTCTCTGAACCTGCAATTTTATATCGGTTAACGAGATCCAAGCAAAGCAGAAAAACCTATAGAATTTATGATGTTGGTCATAGTAGCTTACAAGCACTTGGAAAGCAAAACCAGTGGGAAGAAATTGTCCAGGACGCCTCTCGTTCATAGGACTAATAATTCTTCTAGTGATTCTGCGGTACCACTCCATATAAGGATCATTATAGTCCATAGGGATACACTCTGGCTCACCGAACACAACAGAAGACTCGCGTGCCTCCCACAATTCTATGTGTCGACTATGACGTGCTGACCAATCGTATTCTGATTTGCCTCTTTTGTCAATAGCATGAAGAGCTTTTTCATTGTCACAAGGTGATGGAACTGCTTGGTGAAGACCAAACTGTCTAAGCACCCTATCAGGACGATGCCACTCAACGACATCGAAACAAATTAAGGGAGCAACAGTTCGCCATATGTTCTGGCCACTAAGACATATAAGAGGAAGCTTTCCTAGAAGATCCGGAGTGTAAGGCTGCCATATGACCTACATCCACATTATGAAATTAAATTCCATACCATCAGGACACTAAAACCAACGATCAAAGCAATAGTTTTACATACCTGCTCATCTTTCTGCTGGTCAAATTGGTCCCTGTAAAAGTCCAGTCCTCCGCGAGGATTCTCTTTATGACTCAGAGAAGCTCTCCACCTAGCTTTCAAGCAGTTCCATAAGCGAAACAAAAATGAAAATCAAACTTATAAGAACAAAACTGAAGAGAATATGATAAATCTAAATTACCTACAGCCTAACGGATCTGGTAAAGCACCATCTATGCCATCCAGATACGAAGCGCCAACATCTTTAAGCCTTCCCGGACGACCAACATGGAGCCGTTCCCAAGCCCATAACTGAAGCAGAACAAGAGGACCACAAATGGTAGAAACAGTCCTCTTACTCGCCCGGCACAGCTCTCTGTAGAGAAGTGCTAAAGTAGCACTACCCCAACTAAGCTTAGCCACTTCATCAAAGTCCCTTAGCAGAGGGAGAAACGTCAGAGCCACATCATGTTTAGACTTATCCCCGTAAAGAAACCCACTCATCAAAGCTAAAACAAAAGCTCTAGTGTGACACTTCAACGTCTCCTCGTCAGGGTCAGCAGGTAAGTTCCTAAAATTATCACGCAGCCATGCTAATGACACATGAGAACCATGTAGATCCTTGGGACCTGGTCTGAGACCAAGCAGGTCCTCACATAGATCAGCCCAGTTGTATTTTGTGCTACCGGTTATCGCAGGTCCATCCACACGTAGACCCAACAGTATATTCACATCTTGCAGAGTCACTGTGATCTCTCCAGCAGGGAGATGGAAAGTATGCGTCTCAGGTCTCCATCTCTCCACAAGAGCTGTTATCAAAGCGTAATCAAGCTGTATAAAGGCAACCTTGTACACTCCATATAGCCCAAACTCGATCAACTTCTGACACACGAGAGGCTCCAAAGGCCAATCTCGCATGCCCAATAGCTTGTGCCGGCATGTCAGTTCACGAGGAGGAACCTGAAAGTGAAAGATTCAAGATTTTTTATAACGAAGCAAAACAAGATGAAGGATAGTGATTAACTAATAGTCTAAGACACACACCTCGTCTTCCCAAATGGCAGCTGATCTATGCTCATGTTGCCACACTAGTATAGATTGATCAACAGGACCAGGGTCCAAATCAAAGTTTAATACGTTTTGCACCTCCATCTACATGATATATCACATGAACATCAATACAATCATCAATCAATCATAGCATTTTTTGGCACATTGAAAGAGCCATTAGAAATGATATTTCAACGGAAAAAAAATGCTAACTTCCTGTCACCAAACGGTCAATGTACCAAATTTAGCAGCTAAATCCTAAGAATCTCAATAACTTTATTGTAATTCATGACGATTCTCGAGAGTCGAGAGACGAAGTAAGAATCTCAGCTCCCGAATTGTTTGAGTAACTACTAAACAAAAACTCAAAAAAGAAAGCTTCTAATTTTGGAAATATAAACGAGAGCTGATTTCAACATAACGAACCCTAAACTGGCACGAAGCAACTTGGAAGACAATCACCAGAAGATTCAAGCTAATTACTCATATACACAAACACAAGGAGCTAACACCAGAAACATCAAACACAAAGATATAAACCAATCAGAACAATTAAACAGAGTGGCTCTGCGTTTGATTAGAATTCGAGACTGTACCTGAGAAAGGCTTTCGTGATCAACAAAAACCAGAAAGAATGAATAATAAAGACGTTTGAAAAACCAGAGGAAGAAGAAAGAAGCAGAGAAGCGTTAAGCGGGAGAGAGAGAGAGAGGAAACGAGAAACAGAGAGCAAGCTTGAAAGCTTCCAGATCCGACAGAAGTTTTCGGCTTCTTCAACGAAAACGCTAAAAGGCACTTGTGAATTGTGATCCTTCTAGGTCGATCCGAGGATCTGATATTTTCCCTACTACGACGCCGTTTTCATCAAAACTTTTTAGTGGGCCCAGTTACAGTCTCGGCCCAGATATTGAAAGCACAATACGACGACTTTAAAAATGTAAACTCGAACTTTTGTCGATGTAACGACTAAAAGAGAATACAAATATTCGAGTCTCTCTAGAAATCGTCGTCGCGTTAGTTTTTCACAAAAAAGAGGTGCTTGTTTGAAGATTACACAAAGACACGTGGCGTGAACCCAAATCGTAGGAACGCCACGCGATGCTCTTTGCATGCACGCACACCTCTCGTTTGAACATCAAATCTCTCTTTTTCTGACTTTGATCTCTGAATCTATAACTTTTGTGATCTCTATTTAAGTGACCAGAAACTACTATATCCATTCACGTCAGTACATAAATTTTCATCTATAATATAATATAACAAGAAAGAAAAAAATGCCAGGGATCACACTAGGAGACACGGTGCCAAACCTAGCGGTGAAGACGACACATGACAATTTCAAGCTCCATGACTACTTCGCTGATTCATGGACCGTCCTCTTCTCTCATCCCGGTAAATATAATATTACTGTTACTATATCTTGATCTATCCGGTTTAACTCCGTAAATTGAACCAAAGTATGATCATCTCTAATTTAGTTATTTTTCTTGATTATCCGACACAGGGGACTTCACACCAGTATGCACAACGGAGCTTGGTGCGATGGGAAAATACGCTCATGAGTTCCAGAAGAGAGGTGTGAAGCTCCTTGGTTTGTCTTGTGACGACATACAGTCACACAAAGAGTGGATCAAAGATATTGAAGCCTTTACGGTACGATAAATTGACATGCATCATGGATGCATATATAAAAAAAAACTAATTAATCTTTGATCTCATCTAGCTAGCGATTTATCTTTGAGTAACACTTTGTGCTGTTTTGTAACATGTATGATATAGCCTGGAAGCAAGGTGACGTACCCTATAATCGCTGATCCGAACAAAGAGATCATTCCTCAGCTTAACATGATTGATCCCATCGAGAATGGTCCGTCTCGTGCCCTTCATATTGTCGGTCCCGATAGTAAGGTAAATTAACCATTTATAACAATTTCAATAACACTCATTGAAAACATTGCATTTGTGATTTAATGGTTGGTTTCTGATTTTTTACATACAGATAAAGTTGAGTTTCTTGTACCCGTCTACCACGGGACGTAACATGGACGAAGTCTTGAGGGCATTAGACTCGTTGTTGCTTGCGTCCAAGCACCAAAACAAGATTGCAACTCCGGTTAACTGGAAACCGGATGAACCGGTGGTGATTTCGCCTTCTGTGCCGGACGAAGAGGCTAAGAAGCTGTTTCCCGAAGGTTTCAAGACGGCGGATCTTCCGTCAAAGAAAGGCTATATGCGCCTCGCCGATGTCTTTTAAAAGACCCAAAATAATACAAAAGATGTTATATGAGCATTGTATAATATAATATCGACGTTTATAACGTGTTGACAAAAATATAATAGTTGCGTCGTGTAATGTGTGTGGTGTGTTGTACTCACGAGGGCATGGCCTTTGTATTAATA